TGAGAAAAGAATGGGAGGAAATAGCGGTAAAATTTTACAACCAGCAAGATTTCTAAAGCAATTGGAGCCTTTAGACTGATTACCTATCAATTCAATGAATTTCACTTACTTGCTTTTTTACTTTCCTTTTGGCAGAAAAAGTTAAATTAATTTATTTACCCACCTGCACCCACGCATTAATACGTAAATCAAAACAGCAATGTAAACAGAAATTATTTGAGAGACGAATTTAGAAACTAATCAACCACACGACTAGCTAACTGCCGCTTAACTGGACAGCAAACAATGGTAAGGAACAACATCAAGCTTACGCAGAAGCAAGGAATAACAGGCAGTGAACACCGGCGGAATTGTGGAGTCTGCGCAAAAAATACGGCAAATCAGCTGTTTGCCGTTAAGCTTTGCATTCATAGTAGTTTTTAGTTGCGTGAATATAATATACATGAATTATCAGTTCTCTCTTTGTATTGGCATGATTTCTGCCCCTATCGACTTATCCGTCCCCGTCTCAGTCGCTGCCTTCGCTGCTGTTAGCGCACTCTCTTTAATTCCCTCTCTTTGGCAGAACAATTTACAGCACAAAGGAAAATAAAACACGGTCAAAAGTAAAAAATACGACAATATTTGCAACTTTTACCATTTACTTTTCTAAAATGTTTGTTATATTGTTTCACTACAAACACACACACTTGCGTAGACACACATACAATAGAAACAGAGTTAACATTTCGCGGACGCAAAATGAGATGTACAGGTAAGTGACATAGAAATTAGCGAAAATATTTGAACATGAAAGCCAAAAACGTGGAGAATATGTGATATGTACATACATACATATAATAACAACTTGCGACATGCTAATTAGTAGCCCATTAGATGATCTGATAAATAATATATTAAATATACAAAATTCATGTACATACACACATATATACTTATGCTGTACAAATACATATGTATATAGTTTGTTTACTTACAGACTTTCTTAATTATTTTGCAATGCGATTTATGTTCTAAATATTATATAATTATAAATATGTTTTTAGCGAAATATCTCTCATCACCGGCATTCGTACATTTCTTTGACATTCCTTTGATGTTATAAAATTATTTATTCCATTTGCTTAGAAACTAAAAGAAACCCTAACATATGTATGTTCCTCACTTTGGTTTTTAAGCAACTTTCTCTAAGGTGTTAAAAGTATATAAGTATGTATATACATACATTTATACATATGTATACATGTACATTAATAAATTTTTCGTTGTATTAATTTCGGTTCACTTCTTTGTTGAATTCAAAGAGTTCATTTATCAGTTAGTATTGGATCTGTCCGTTCGGGGAGTCACATAATGAGACAACTGAGCTCTCTAACAAAGTAATTTTTTTAAATTTATGTATAATAATAATTAGAAATTAAAATTAGTTTAAAGAAAAACAGTGAAGGGTAGTATGCTTAGCGCCGCAGTCAAAGTAATAAACATCTTGGCTTTTGTTGCGTTTATACAAGTACAATCAATTAATGTAACCTGCAAACACGTTACTAAAGGGTCAATAATATAAAGGTAACTGACAAAAAGAGAAGAGAAAATCGCGAGTAAGAGAATTAGGTGTTCGCTGTCGCAGCCAACGTTATTCGCGACAATGCCACCAGCGTCGTCGATGCTCACGTTGACGTCACGAGAAAGGCAAATCAAAGAACATACAACAATGCATAAAATAATACGACACACGCATAAATATACATACATACTGTGTATATGTGTAAACACAAACATGCATGCGAATGTGTGTGCATAAATTGCTTTAGGTTTTTAGTGTGCATAATTTGTGTCTCCTGACTGCAAAACTCGGGCAAGGCAGCAGGTAAAATAACTACACTTGTATGGAAATTTGCATTGGGCGAGTGAGGGAATTTCGTAAAATTTTTATGATTATTAAATCAGACTTGAAATATACAGCCGTTAAATGCTAATATAAAGGATTGAGAAAATCGACGTCTCAATGAACACAGAAAGTTGTAAGCAAATTAAATAAGTTCATCCATTTACATCTATTTTCATATACTTATTTACATACATGCATTCCTTATTAACAATTTTTCGACATATTCATATATATATGAACATATGTATGTACTTACATTCTTACTAAAGCCTTATTTTCTATTATTTTGAGTTGCGGTTTGTTTTAATTAGAGTAAAGTTATTCACATTTATAAGGCACTTGATTCGATGAACTTTTGTTTAATTTTATATGATAAAAATTTATAGAAAACCCATTTGCTCGATTTTCATCTTCGCGTGGGGATTTTTTATTTTAATTCGTTTGCTTTTTAAGTTTTTTATCCAAAATATCTTTATGACAAAATTAACTACGATCTACTACGTTGAAATTTGCGTGGCTTATGAGAGCAAAATGTTCGAAACGATACGATGACAGATATTTATTTTTTCCAGTGGCTTCTTTTTACCACAAGATCCGTGGTCCATACTATTTTTACACTGTACCACACGCTTTTTCTAAATCGGTATTAACTTTTCAACTTAGCAAAAGGTGTAGCAAATGAAATGTTTCAACAGATTTTATTTCCTGGTAACTAATTAGTATACCCCAGTACACACCAACTACCGAATTAACAAAAAATGATGATGACAAGGCAGCGACGGCGCAACAACTGACGACACTGACGACAGCAGCGACGCAGCTGGCGTACGGCCGTCAAAAACGGTCGCAGGGTTGCATTCACCTATCATAGGTCATCTACAGGTGAACTTGCATCAGAGCAGAGAATGTTAATGAATTTCATTCATATTCATATTTCATCAGAGAAGGTGAAACTATTCCATTTAGAATATAATAATCTTATTAGAATGGTAAGTATGAACAGAGAATGTTAATGAAAATGAAATCAGAGAACGTAAATGAATTTCATTTGAATTTCATTTGAATTTCATTTACGTTCTCTGGTTTCACCTGTTATTGTATCAGCAGAGATTGTAAATGTATGTATATTCATTTTTATATCAATATTTTTATGGTAATTATTATATCAATTTTTCATATTCATTATTATATCTATAATATTCTTTAACACTCTCTGTAAAAACTGCATATTTGAAATTATAAAAGAGAATATGTAAATGTGAAAAATTATTAGAGAAGTCAGTTTCTGTAACGTTTTTTATGTGTATATGTTCACAGTTTATAGTTTTTAAACCTAGCTCCTAAAATGACAACTATTTTTTACACAAAGATCAAACAATTCGTTAGGCAGGCATAATTTTATTATTGTACATATGTATAATGTTAATTACTCAATTGTTCAACTTAGTCCATTTTTCGCTTACAGCCCATAACCACTTCGCTAGCGCATCATCCATAGCAGCTGGCGCCACGTCCTTCAGATTACAATCGCTGAAGTACTTTCCTGATATATTGACTAATTCTGGGTCTAAGGCAGCATACAGGGTGGTTTGAGTACCATTTTTAGGCGACTTAGTGAAAGGCCAAAATAGTGGTTTGAAGAATAAGCTGAAATGGTTGAATTACACTTAGTAACAAAACAGAAAACTTATAAAAGAAGTACTTAATATACTTGGCAAAGAAACTATTAAAAAAGCCCATATGTCTGAAAAGTTCCGTGTCTACAACGCCAGGATGCAGCGCATTAGCTGAAACACCAGTGCCTAGTATATGTAACACAATAGAGGTCTAATTTGAAACAAACACCATAATAAACTCTTAGAGACAAACCTTCCAAACGTTTTGCCAGTTCACGTGTAAATAATATATTAGCCAATTTACTTTGATTGTAAGCTCTACCTGGGTCGTACGACTTGTCACTATTTAAGTCCGCAATATTGATTTCTCCACGTGTATGCGCTAAACTAGACACGGTAACAATACGGCTCGGAACCGATTTCTGAAAGGTTTTTCTTAATTAGGATTTTGAACTTCTAAACTGTCCTCCATTTATATACTTTTAATAAATCCAGTAGTAAATTAGTGAGGAGAAAGTGGCCCATATGATTGACCCCCAACTGCATTTCGAAACCATCTTTTGTAAGCGAACGCGGGCAGCGCATAACACCAGCATTATTAATAAGAATATCTAGTTTCACCTGCTCCCTTTTGAAACTATAACGATTAAAAAAAATTACAATGTAATTTAATTTTCTTAAATGACATAAAAACTATTGTATTCACACCTTTCAACAAATTTACGAACTGAGTCCATCGATGCTAAATCGCATTTTCGGCAGTAGATGTGTTTGTTATGAGTTTCTAAAACGATTTCATTGCGGGCCTAAAAGAGATTAGCAGAATGAGCACAAATAAGACTTAAACATTTCAAAATCTCTGAATGTTATTTCACCTCTTCGCATTTCTGCATATCGCGACAGGCCATATAAATGGTCGCACCACGGTTAGCCAGCTCACGCACTGTTTCCTTTCCAATCCCTGTATTGGACCCGGTAACAATCACTACTTTATCCTCGGCTCTTATGGGATTTTCGAACTTCTCTCCTTGCATTAAATCCCTGTGGCATAAATTTGTTACATAGATATGAACTTCATAACACATGCACATGGGCTGCTTACTTAATAAAAAACGCAAAACCCACCGTAGTTCCTGTGACACTTGCCCAAAAAATTGGACGACTTTTTAGAAAAGAGAACATATTTCTCGCAATTTTTTTCTATTTTGTACTTTAATTATACCACAAAATATCTGGATTTATCTCCGATTAAGATTTAGGTATCTCTGAGTTAGGTTGATCTAAAAACATGACGAGGTTACGGACAAATGTTTAGCCTCATATCAACTGACATGCCAACAGCTGAGCAAATACACTTAGAAAAACGAAAGCTTAAAAGTTAAAATGCGTTTCTTACCTATATCAATTTACGTAAATATATTTAATGGGTATAACTAAAATAACTAATATATTTAAAAAAAGTCCTTTTGAAAGAAAAACATTTCTACGGAGAGTCGTCCACATTTACTTCATCATTTAAGTTTTTATTGTATTAGCGAAAAAAGCACAAACTAATATTGTTCGTGTATGCATAGGTGTATATGTATATATTTTTTTTTGTTTCACGTACATTCAAATATAATTTTTACTTATTTATTTAGCAAAAATACACTTAATATTATTATATGTATGTATTTAAAGTGGAATATTGAGATACAGAATTTTGTAGGAATATTTCCAGTGAAAGCTATAGATCGGTTCACACAAAATCGATCCTTATCTCATAACTTCAGTGTTGTTTAATAATTCGTATATTATGTAAATACAAGCAGTGACTTCAAATAAGCATTAATAAATTTAATCAAATTATGATTTTGCTGTAAAAATCCAAAGTTCAAAGTATAAATTAAGTGTTAATAGCGCCATTGGATAAAACGGGTTAAAGCCTAAAAGAAAAACAGAATATTTCAAATTGAAAACAAAAGAAACATACATATAAATGATTGTGCTTTCTTGTATGAATAAGAAAAATTAGTTTTAATATATTATGTGTATAAACAAAATTATAAATCGAGAGCATACATATGTATATCGTTCAGTTAGTGGTTGACAGGAAATGTGCATGCATGACATGTTTAGTTTTTAGTTAAAAAAATAACCACATACATAACAATCTCATCGCATTTTTCACCGATATCAAAAATTATATGTAAAGTAGTCTAAATTTTTATTTGTCGGCATTTTATTATTTGTATCACTTTAGAAGTCAAATATGTGTACAGAAATTCATGTTTGGCTTGCTTCTTGGTGTTTACATTATTAGTTGTATATTTTAATTTTTCTGTGCTGACAAATTTACAACTCACTCAAGGATGCATATAGACTGTAGATCAAATGTTTTTACCGGAAAATTCAGAAAAAATGTTCCACCAGCTAATATCTGTATATGTATATATATGTATGCGTGTGTGTTTTTTTTTCAAATTAAAAGCTAATACATATTTTGAATTATATATTATATTAAAAACCGCAATTCAATAAAAATTCAAACTTATTTTGTTATTGAATCCGTTGGCGAATTCAGGCCGGACGACGAATTGTTTTCATTTAAGGCATCAGGGAAACTGTTAATTGAACCCGAACGCGAAGTTGATACTCTTGTCTACTTTAGAGACGCCACAATTATAAACATTCAGTTGACGCAGATTAAACATGAAACGAAAGAGAGAAGCAATTGGTTAGTCAAAAAAACAGAGTATTAAAAATAAAGCACGCAAATTTTTATAATTACATAGCTATAATTAATCTACTAGTATATATATGTATGAAATTTTGTTAGTAGAATGTTATCAGACTGATCCTTTTTTACCCGGTTTAACCTGCATTCTTTACCTGCTATTCTTTATTATCATTATGACGCAATATGATTTTAAAAACAAGAAAAAAATCTAACTTCGGCTGTGCCAAAGCTATAATACCTTTCGCAGATACATTTCTTTTAGCATCAAGATCTTTACCTTGATTCTGAACGGTCAGTTTGTATGGCAACTATATGCTATGCTGGTACAATATCGGCGGTTCTAACTATTGAGCACCTTCTTACTTACAGATAGACGGACATGACTAAATTGACTCAATTCCCACAACAGCAGGTTCCACGTTGCCAGAATTGACCCGGTTTTTATCCGGCCAAGGGCTGTTATTTCGGCGATCTATTCCCACTTGAATCGGTGAGTTTTAGTTTAAGATTGCCTTCACTGCAGCAACTCTTAACAGCAGGCATCCTCCTGACCCGTGCTAACATTGAGTCCAACCCGGGGGCTCTGAGGAATTTTTCTGCTGCATTTGCGCAAAGCTCCATTTAAACTCCAGCTCGGTTAGCTGCAACACATGCAATGGATGGGGCCATCTTAAGACCTGTTATGTGACCCTATGCTGCCAACGAACTATTGCGACACCAGCCTCAACGGCCTTGCAAATTGCACCATGTCCGCGCACTGCGCCGCTACTCGAATCGAGTGGGCAACAAAAGACCTTTACGGTACGTGGCGAGAATTTGTATCAAGTGAAATTTCGTAACAGGTCGAGTAGGCGGATCGCCGCACGAAACGAAATAGAAATTTTATTCAAATTTATTACTTCCCTGGTATTGCTCCAAATGACATTTAAGAATAACATGAAATGCGAACACAAAACAAAAAAGTATTTGAATTGGAATTAAACGTAAATATTCATATGCATTATATGTTTATATGGAAATTTTTTAAATTTAGTTCTTGCACGCATTAAAATGAACCCTATCAGCCGGACCGCTTATCTCAGTGCACAGAATACTTTGTTGAAAAATATAAGCTTCCAGGAGGTAGGTTTGTCCACTAAATGATGGTGGTTTGAAAGGTGTACAAATGACTATGCCAATTTCTTAGTTATAGGATGATGAATTTTAGCTATGTATAGATTTGAAATATGGTGGAGCCGCTGACGATTTCTTTGTATGGAGACAATGCAATTCTTGTACTGGCTGGTGTCACTTCCCGACGTGTTCCGGCCTGCGCATCACGCGTGAGTGGAGTGTGTCGTACGTTGCCCCGTGCTGCAGAAGTCTGCTCCCGCATCCGCTTACAGTGTCGTCGCCAAACAACACCACAGTGCGACAGTGCGATACGTCTCCTACATGACACAGAAACCAAGTTAAACAGCCGCCCAGATCTTCTGAGTTTTGCAGGTTTCATCGTAATACGTAAGGATTGCGAGCGAGATAGTGGTGGAGTCCTAGCCTTCATACTGTTTGTGCACTGTGCAAATTCCTCTCCTCGAGCACAGGGATACAACCCTTGAATGTCAGAGAATTAGGTATATACGTCCCCCTGTTACATGTTGCCCAACAGAATAACACCCGAATATAGGTGCGCTACTTCGTGGTGAAAACCGTTTGGTACTTAGTGCTTTAACGCGCACCACGATCTTTGGCACTTCTGCCTATCAAACGATCGTAGGGTCCATGGCCATGCCTCCTTGGACCTGAAGAAGTGCGCCTGCTATTTTAGCCGGCATATCACATTGCACTCTTCGACAGACAAGACCAAACGATGTGTTTCTCGACGGCTACGCAAAATGTCACATAGGGAGAAAAATGTTAGATGAGTGGGGTTCGTTGAGCATGTAAAGAGGTGGTTAGTGTCATGCGGAGGCTCGTTGCACGCAGGACATCTCGCTGACCACTCCTCAAATATCCGATGTGTGGAAAGTCGGAAGAGTGGTCCTACTACTAAAACCTGGGAAACCCGCCAATAAAGAGGAGTCTTATCTCCTTTCCCCAATAGTGCAGACACTTGAGGCCTTGCTACTCCTGACATTTACTGACTACTAAACCAGAAGCCACCCTGTGAGAGGACGATCCTCGTAGCGTTGGACTTCTTAAAAGCTTTTGACACAATCAGCCACACAACGCTTCTTGAGGACATTGAACAATCCACGCTCCCTCCAGAGTTGAATCGGTGACCTATGAACTACCTGACCGGTCGACAATCTTCCGTACTCTTTCGAGGTCAAAAATCTGAACTTAAAAGAATTAAATAGGGGGTTCCGCAGGATGGTGTCCTCTCCCCATTACTGTTTAATTTCTACATATCGAAACCCCCAAATCCACAGCGACCATATTCACTAACTGGACGAAGGAGTACAGACTGGATCTAAACATTACCCATTGCAGACGAAGAGCCCGAGTTGCAACGAGGATCTAGAGTAACCCTTGCGCAACTTCATTCTGGGTACTGTAGCAGGTTAAACTCCGTTTTCTTGGCCTACCGTTAGATGCATTCGACGACAATTAATATGAACATTACCAAAATCCAAAGCGGAGATTAGATAACCGCTACAACAACAATAATTAAATCGACTTGGCTCATCATGCAGATCACTTAAGCATATATATATTTTACAGGGTCTCCGACGTTTCCTTCTGGCGGTTACAACCTTTGTGGCAAACTTAATATACCCTCCCTATTCAGGGTCAATGATTAAGAATAAGCTTCTATCGTAATTCTTTAAATAATTAAATAATGCACATTTCTTTACAAAATTTTAGCTGAATGCATTATGTTTTTCTATTGACAACTCGATGGCTTAAATTATAGAGACTTTATAAACCAACCAAGGTTAACCGAATAAACAAGGATCACTTATTTACTGATTTTATTGTTTGTAAAAGTGTATAACTGAAAAAAATAACAATAACAAGTAAGGAAGTGCTAAGTTCGGATGTAACCGAACATTTTATACTCTCGCAAAGTCAAATAGTATACTCGTTTGAGATTTCTTTGTGTGATTGACTGATATTTTCGGTAGAAGGTCAACTATAGGCACTGGGGTCCACATATTTAGTACTTAGGGGCTTGAACAGTTTTGGTTCGATTTAGACAATTTTTGGTCACAATGTGGCATACTTTAAACGTATTATTCACGCAAAGTTTTACCCCGAAATAATCATTGTTATTAAAAATAAAGCACGCAAATTTTTATAATTACATAGCTATAATTAATCTACTAGTATATATATGTATGATATATTTTACCCCGAAATAATCATTGTTGCTTGATATGCATAGTGGAAAGTGAAAGAATCAGATGGAATTTAAAATGGTGTTATATTTCGCCCATTTTCGCACTATGACATGGAACTATAAAAAGAACGTTATGCACCGAATTTGGTTGAAATCGGTTAAGCAGATCTCAAGATATGAGTTTTCACCTAAAAGTGGGCTGTGCCACGCCCACTGTCTAATTTTGAACGCGGTTCCTATAAAGTCATCTCATACGATCCCAGAGATAAAATTTAATGTCTCTGGCTTGTTTAGTGCTTAATTTATCGCGCTTTTAGTAGTTTTTAACAGTACCGTTATATGGGGAGTGGGCGGAGTTGCCACCCGATTTCTCCCATTTTTACACTGTAGGTAGAGGTTCTAAAAACATTTGCTTCCAGTGAATCTTGTTATTATTGCATTACCGGTTTAGGAGATATGCACATTAAACCTATTAGGGGCGGGACCACGCCCACTTAAAAAACAATTTTAACTGCAGATGCCCCTCCCTATTGTGATCCTGTATACCAAATAAGAGTCTTGTATCTTGTTGTGGAGCTTAGTTATGGCAATTTATTTGTTTTTGAATAATGGCGTTTTGTGGGCGTGGCAGTGGTCCGATTACGCCCATCTGCAATACCAACCGTCTCACGGTATCAAGAAACATGTCTACCAAGTTTCATAAAGATATCTCCATTTTTACTCAAGTTAGAGCTTGCACGGACGGACGGACGGACGGACGGACAGACAGTCACCCGGATTTCAACTCGTCTCTTCATCCTGATCATTTATATATACATAACCCTATATCTAACTCGATTAGTTTTAGGTGATACAAACAACCGTTAGGTGAACAAAACTATTATACTCTGTAGCAACAGGTTGCGAGAGTATAAAAACAGTGCATTTAGCGGATTAATTTACAATGCTAAACACATTGAATAAATCCACAGTTTTCGAAATTAGGGTGGAAATGTTAAAACGATAGGAAAGTATTAATAGTTTTAAGAAACAGTGTCATGTCCAAGGTGTTTTATGTTTCGACTTATTTAAGTATGAAGTAAAGGGCAAGTTAATTGAAACGAAAAATTAAGTTTTTGTTTTCAATTTGATAAGTAGGAATAAAAAATAGTTTATAGTTACCGCATGGGGTTGGCACAAAAAATTGTTGTGTTCATAGCTTACTTTAACATTCTCATAGGCTGAGCCAACCTTCTCTTCGATCGAACGCATCGAATCCGAGTTTTTCATTTGTGAGAATTTTGATGTTATGCCGCTAGTTATACTACCAAATACTGAAGCGGTCTTTTCCGATGTCGACTTGAGCACCGATTCGGTACGTTGGAAACTATATAACAAATGAAAATACATATAATAACCTTTTAAAATTATTTAACCTTTTTAATACATTCGTACATATTCCAGGATAGAAAAAATACTTTACAATAATTATAATTTGAATATATTATATTTGTAGTGTAAGCACAGTCGATAATGAACTTGTTCATACATAATTTATTTAAGCACTTTTTTTATAAAAGTCATAATAATTTTCAAAGTTAACGGGTTTTATAAAAAAATAATATACATACATATATAAAATAAATAATAAAATATATAAATATATAAAATAAAAAATAAAATATATGTATAATACATGAAAGACAACAACGACAAGATAAAATGTGAAATATTTCGTAAGCCTTACTTACATTGGGGCATCATGAACGGCCTTCGTAATGTTGCCAACACTTTGTTCAACGCTTTGAAAACTTAAAATACAACAAAAAAAAAAAAAATAATAAAAAATAATAAAATTAAATCAATCTAAAAACGGTGTATCTAATAAAGAAAGCCATAAACTTAATTAGGATTAGTATTTATCAAAAAATATATGTACAAAAATACATCCTTTGATGTGATTTGATTAAAAATACTACAGTGGAAACGATTTAATTGAAAGACTAATTAAATAAATCTTTAATTTAAAGTTCTTTTGTAAACATTAGATTATATTATTATTTTCATCGTATTATATGATAATAACTCAAGTATATGTAAAAATTTCAAATTATTATAAAAAAAGAACAAGCTACAAAATATATATATATATGCATGAATGTATGAATGCTTTAATAGGCGCATGACCATTCTCATTCACTTTATAGTACTATTAAATATTCGATGTTTTTCCATTTTATTAGGAACTTCATGCGAACACACAATATAATCCATATATTAATTTTTTATTTCAATGTTTTCCCAACATGAATACTATACTGTTAATGCAATCAAGAGCATTCCTACTGCTTTGAATCCTCCAAAAGAATGTGAATAGAGGGGACGGCTGAAAAACGACGTCTAAGGATGACAATTATATAGAGATTTTATTGAAACGCGATTCTTTGAAATCCTCTGTAGCTATCCAAATAGAATTGGGTATAAAACTTCTTAGAGAACTGTTGCGCCTCGTCTTGTAGAAAGGAATCTCTTCGAAAGGTTGTCCCAGAAAATTCCAAAGTTGACAAAAAAGACAGCGGAACAATCGAATTGCTTTTGCTTCGGCGCAAATAAATTCAACCGTTAAGAAAATGCAAAAAAGTCGCGAAAGATCCTTTGATCCGATCAATCTAAATAAATATAGTGGGTAGCGGTGAAAAAGTTTGGGTTCGATGTCTGAAGAATGCTGAAATGAATATCCAATACACGACAAAATCTTTCACACGAGTTAGCGCAATCTCTGGATTTAAATCCTATTGAAATTCTGTGGAAGATTTTAAAGGAAAAGTTGGGACCCATTAAACGACGAAATAAGGAGGAACTATGGAAAAAAGTCTAAGAGGCGTGGTATTCAATAACGAATTTAGTCCGTAACGCTCTGGTGGAATCTAAGCCAAAAAAGGGCACTGTCATACTCCCAATAATGCATTTTTATTGTATAGTTATAATAGTCTGCTATTTACTAGTTTTGGTTCCATTATTCTATTTTATTGTCAATTGCTTGATTAAAGGAACTGTCATTTAAAAGTTGATTGCCGATAATACTTAAATTTATATTAAGTTATTTTTGCTTTTGAAATATTTAAAATAAATTTTATAAACTATAAAAAAGAAAAATTGCTTCTTCCTAAGAACTGTGGTAACACTTTTTTTCAAATAGCTAATAAAGCTTTGATTCTATTTTTTTGTCAGTAACTGTACATATACAGTCACATGAAGTTCACAATAAAATGGTAATAGGGAGTGTATAAACAAACTTACACAGAACTTTCTTTTACATTCTTCAGGCCTTGATTCATATCGTCCGTTATTTCTTTCCACATAGTAATGCCCAGCTTGCGTTTCAAATCTGAGGCATGTCGCGTTTTCGATGCCAGTACTGTACGCAATGTATTTATTTCCTCTTCAACTCGAGCAAGTTCCTACAAGAAAGTCTCTGAGTTATATATTCAAATACTCATCGAGTGACAAGAAAAAAGTCTTAGTACATTTTTGTTAAAAAACGAAACCACTTTAAAGTAGTATCGATTCTCAAACATTTTTTACATAATGTGCTAAGTAAGTTTTTCCGATCAACTTCTAGATATTATTAACGGCAATATACTTGACTCCATTCGGCCCGTTGCTTTTCTTGCTCCTCTGCTGTGAGTGCGGCAAACTCGGCAGCAATATCAGCGGACGCAACAGATGCTACTGGAGATGCTGGTTCCGATAGTTTTGAAGTATTGTCTATATTGCGGAAAATGTGTTATTGTTGAAAAAGTTAAAACAATAAAGTTATATGGTTTGGTTTTTTTCAAAGTATTTTATTTAAATGAATGAAAAAATAGCAAGTTTGGATACAAATAATTAAATTTTTCTAGTTGCAGGAAAATCAAAGAAAAAAATACTAAACCAATTTAAATAGCTTCTTAAGTGAATCGGTATAGTCTTATAAGTACCTCCTTGAAAGACAACCTCCTCGAATACTCTATCATAAGCTGAAGATTCAATTAATTTAGCAAAAAATACTCAAATAACTAAACTTGTTGTTGCATTAAGATTATTTAAGCATGTCATAATTATATGTTATATACTTACAAACTTTGAATTTGCACAAGGAATTTTTGGAAAAACGAGACAAAAAAAAGTTTGGAGTTCGGTTAATATGTGTAGATACTTTAAGATATTTATATTATGTTTATTAAACATAGTTTCTTAATAAAAAACCCTTAAGATTCATGTAAACGCTGAATTAACTTGTGAAAGTGCAATAAATAAATCGGCATCAGGACAAATCTGGCCTTTGATGACAGTGACAATCCAATAAAATCAATTGGACAGAATGGAAAACATTCTGTGTTTCTTATGAAAATGGAAATATAAAAGCTTAACAATGAATGCTGGTGATAGCAAACAAAATTTTAGATAGAAATAACTCAGGTCAGCTGATATTAGTGGAGAGGGAAAAATCTAGATGACATCTTTTATTATTTTGAGTAAATACTTATTCATGATCTGCAGAATCTATTATTATTGATATGTTAAAATATATGTTTTCCAATAACCAGAAAATAATATATTCAGTTTGATTAATATATAATATATACATAGGTAAAATTTTTACAGTTATAATATTAATTAATGCCCATATTAATATTTAATTTGCAAGAATGAACTTAAAACAAATTTGGACATAATAATTCCTCTAATTAAAAATGTTTTAAAGATGGCGATCATACATGATATATATGAATGTGCGTACCTTTGGTAATTGTGGAAGGTAATGATGAACCAATATTTAGGAATTTCTTATAATTGTCACTACTCGAAATCTTGGCTAAATATGGTTTAGAGAAATCAATAAATGTCACTTTAACCTCACGCATTGTACGTTTCGTAAAAAACCGTAAACGGAAGCGTTTTGCGATTGACGTTGAAGGCAATTGATTGGCTAGTTTCGTTGCTATAAATTCCGTTTCGACAGCCTGAAGTTCAAGTGTGTTCGTGTAATCTGAATCTACATCGTAAAAAATTTGATCTAATGTTAAATCCCTTAAGTATTGTTCAGTCTCATTTGTCCAATCGGCCAAGTCAACTAATTGATCATCCAATTCGGTAGGCTCATCTAGTGAAGGAGTTGTGATATTATCCAATTTAGGCAGATATGGATCTTCGATGAACTCCAAACTGACCGGTTCGGAGTCTGTCATGTTTTCAACAACAATGACAAGGGCAAGCTCATGCGAAAAAAGCAGAGTGAAATTACTATTAAGATGTAATAAGTCGGGATACATGCGGTGTACATATACATGAACAAGCACTGAGCCAAAGTTGCGGAAAAGGTAACAGAACTCAACACACTTTCTCTTTTCTCAGCGATCGTAGTTTATTTGTAATATCACATTTCAATTATTAAAAAAAGAAACATTTTTAATTGAAGCAGTTTTAGCATGTGGCAACTTTTTTGCTCAGCAATAGCTTTAATATTACTGTTGCTGAACATGAATTGTGTATCAAAGTAAAACACAAAATTGAATTCGGACTGCTTTACTTTAATTTTAGCCGTATACTATTTTTCGAGATTATAGTTAATATTGCTCTTGTTTAACTTCAAACTTAGGTTAACAGAGCGTTGTGTACTCAATCCATAATACAATTATAAATTATTTTGCTTATGTTCGTCCGTTGGCGTTCACGGTTAAAATCTAACTGAGTAACAACATATTGCAATAAAAGCAAAGATTGAAGACGTTAGAAAAAACGAAAATATGACTAGAAAAGCGCAAACGTTTCAACAAAGCAAAATACAAATTTATGTCAGCAACTTCAACAGCTCTTTTCAGTTATCCAACGTTCACAATGTTGTCGCTCAGCGTTACTGCCACTGGTACTGTGGTTTATAAACCGTAATAGCAACTTCATTCAACAAGCGTCCGAATACAACCAGCCTCTAACCAATCTGTTTAACACATAAGCAAACTTCGGCAACAACAAACCGATGACTCAACCATTAAGCTGAGCAACTACTGTAGCAAACTATAGCAACAGGCAGTATCTAGTATACTAGTGTCATTAGTAATTATTAACAAGAAAGCAGTCTACAAAACATGCGTACGTAAGTACATACATATAATAACCAATAGACGATTGTAAATGAGGAGATATAAAAAGTAATAATGGTATTTTATAAATTACACGCCCCTTCAACATTAATGTTGTTTTTACCTATTTCAATATGATCTTAATTTTGAACGTTTAAATTACAAGTTATGTACATGTTAAAAAAACATAAACTTCACATTCTCAGGACATAATCTTATAAACAAGAAAATTTACTTATTTGCTACGCAACTTATGCCATCCGTATGTATGTATAAAGTATTATTGTAAAATTTTTGCAATAGTACTATTCGAACGGTATAGCCGGATTTACTTGTATGATAAACATGTAACCATACCTTTGCCCAGATAGGTATGCATATTATAGAATTGGATTATCATTCGGCTTTCCTACTTATGTTCTCAACAGTTTTTAATACAACGACAAATGTTATTATTTATTTTGATGACGTCGCCTAAAATAAACAAATCCGACACTCTTAATTTCTTATATACTCTTACTACAATAAGCTATAACTCTTACTATGGCTTTTCGCTATTAAGGCTTTACACTATCACGTTAAATAAAATGTCAGAAAATACCTATATACATATGCATATGCCACGTAGTTGTGGATGTCCTATATTGCTAAATGCTATCAATTCTGTTGATATTGAAACATTGTTGTATATAGAAAATCCAGCTTTATCTTAGAATACCACTGGAGCATGTCGGTAAAACATAGCATATATTTTTACCGTATTGATTTGACCGGTCCAACTCGAGATGACTCACTAGCTTAGGCACATGTATATGGACTAATGTGAATCTTTGCGCGATACTCCGATACATAAGCATACATTAATTATATTATTTCAACAGATGTTATAACTTATAGTCCATAGCAAACATATTCATATTTTGCAATGAGAAATTCACTTACGATCTTCCATTTTCGTTGTCACAATTGGAAAATACTACGATGTTTCGTTATGCACGTGAATGATAGGTATACTTTGCTTATAATATTTCTCAGCGAAGATTTCTATGAAAGAAATTTTACTTAACAGTAATATTTATTTTTATTTTTGGATTTTCTTCGAAGAAGAATAAATTACTCTTGATAAAAATTAGCTATTTTTCAGCAATCAACGAATAAAACTACTCGCTTGATTCTCCATTCGTTGTTATAATTCAGTTGAACGAATAAATTAAACAGCTGACTTAGGCCAGAGACAGAGAACGTATATTATATATAATATTAATAATATACGTTCTCTGGGCTAAGTCAAATTTAAATTCGCCTCGGGTAAAAGTGAATATTTGTAACACAGGGCGTCTTTACCCAGAAATAAATTAAGTTAATACAGAGAACGTGAAAGAATGTTGTATGTTTTCTGATATTGCTTAGGAGAATCGAGTTATGTGTTTTAATCAAAATCAAACGGCTGATTTAAAACAGTAAATAAATATAAAAAAACTCTATTATAAATTGAAACACGGCAAACTTACTGTTATAATATCTATTTTTACGAATTAGAATTTATTATAAATATGTATATACTTTTTAATTTTTTGGTTTATATAAAAAATTTCAGAATTTTTAATTCTTCTTACAACGTAAATGAACGTGTAAAACTATTTTATTATGCATGTTGCTGTTATGTCTTTTTGTTTCATTTTTATTAGTAAACTCTCTGAGTCTAATCGATTAGAGTAAAATATTATCTGTTAGATTTAAACACATCTTAAATAAGATAGAGTAATCATTATGACAGACATATGTATATTGTTTTTCATCAAAAATTTGGCTAAATAATATTTTTCTGCAACCGATTATCACTCATCAATTTAGTACCCTCAAGTATTAAATTCATATAAGTTTGTATTTCTATTAATGGTGTATATATAAACAAATGATTTTATTCCCTTATAATTAGTAGTGACATTTGCTGCCTTTGTTGTTGTTGACTCAAATATTTTAGTGTTTCAAACACCACAGTCATAATTAACATAATATTATGAGATATTCCTCCTTAAAAATTATTAACATAAAGAAAGAGGAAATCCCAATAATCAACTTTTACTACCTTCTGTTTGGTTATACTTCTAAATCTAATCGCTGTATACGCATTTGCAATTGTTAGTAATGTTATTATCTTACTTAATTTTTATTATCTATTTATATTCAGTGTTGCCTGATATATAGGAAAATATATATTTATATGGATGTATATATTTACAAATCGTATGTATAATATGCACATGAGTGGATTTTAAATATATGTACATACATTTGTTTGTTAATATTTTTATTTTAGTATGGTTACTTAATTTAATGTAATTTGCAAAGTAACTGATTAGTATTTCATGTATATTTACGTATAAAAAATACATCAGGTTTTACTGTTAAATCTTATTTACTAATTATAACAAATAACTGTGCATTGCAAATAATTGGGGTATAAATGAAAATGAATTCCAAATAGCAGCTGTAAATAAAAAATTACAAACATATAGTGATGAAAATTTGAAACCAAAAATAAAACACAAATAAAAATTGGTTTTATATTTTTTTTTGTTTATTTTAACTAACTTTTCCATTTTTGTTTATATTCAATTAATAATATAAATTTTATTTATATGTATTAAGGAGTTCAACGATGTAGTATAACGTGTATGTACGTTTTGTATTTGCAAAACAATTAAAAAAATCGTTGCTGCTCCTTAACTAAGTTTTGCAAAAAAAAACTAACATTATTTATATAATTGTGTAAATTGCGTTAGAAAAAATCATAATTATAATAAATCGCAAAAAATGTAAAACTATAAGCCGAAAAATGAAGACTTTAAATTGCACAGGATAAAGTTTGTAGTTTCATATTTTTCATGTACTTTTAATGGATATATTTTTAAGAGGTATTTTTTTTCAAACACATGTTTGTAAATGACAACATAAAGTGTTTCGTCCTATTAAGAAAATTACACAAAAAAAGGCAAAAAAAAATAAAATGTACGTACAACTGAAAAGATTTAGAAAGACGTAATTTTCATTTGGAACTACAAAAAAGACCTCAACAGCATTTCATAGGCTTTAATTTAATGGGTTCTTGCATTTTCAAATGAGTATATAATCGTTTTATACTATAGCATATTACTATAAGAGAAAATATATATGTTCGTATATATATATATATATGTAAATGATTAATAATATTTAATTAAATACTTTAGACATGACAAAATATAATTTTGCATCGCTCAAAAAAGTGTAAGACTTTAAATTGAAAGAAAATTGCTATTTACCATATTTATGCTGTCGTATAAATTCTTACGAGTAGCTATTTATGTTCATTTCAAAAACAAATACAAGGAACTTTGGAAAATACCAAGACCATTTGCAATTTTATTCCTACTCTACAATAGTTATTTATTCGTGTACATAAATACATCATCGATATAACTATATGCTCTCGTTGAATCGTTCATTAATAGTATTTCGCAATATGTATATGTGTATATACACAATAATACAAAATATTTAACGCAAAAATCAGTTAATAGCAAAATGTAGAATTCTTCACTATTGCAAGAGTACAAACAATTTCATATGTTTTAATAGGATTCAAATTCTTTTATAGTCATTAGAAGTAGAAAAAAAACGAAGATTAATGCATATATCCGAACATACATAAATTTTAACTTAACATATATATTTCACGCATGCATAAATGCACACAAGAACACACAAATGTGTTTGAAAAAACAATTGAAAATTCACTTTGTTTTGGGATTTTAGTTTAACGTAAGTTTTTGTGAACACACAAACAACGGTTGACAAGCATGCTGGTGTAATTGGATGGAAAACGTACAATAAGAAGGCGTCGGATAAAAACAGAGGTCAACTCCACACATAACCCACTTAGAAAAATAAAATTACATTCTTTTCCGTACTCGTGTTTGTATGTTAGCAGTTCAAAATGGCCTTTTCATTTCATTAGTAGCTTTCAGTAGACTAATAAAAGCAATAAATCAATAAATTAATTATACAATGATGAAACATCTACGACGAAATATTCTCAGATGTATTAATTACGATAACACGTTCACTGTATAAGCTATTGAATACGAAACAAAATTAACTGATTATAAGCACATACAAATCAAGTACTTTTAAAACATCACCCTTTTGTCGATAGTTATTTGTTGTAAATATGCCTGTACTAACAACTTGTTGTATACATCACACATTAAATGGGTTTTAATCTACAAATATGTAGTTACAAGTATCAAGCATATTATATATTCTCATTGATACAATTTGTTTTCGTTGCTGTCTTTTATATGGGATGTAGTTTCCTACTTTACTATTTCATTTCTAGAGATGTTAGAAAGAATACTCAAAATTATAACACATATTTGATTTTAGAACAAAAACGCTATGGACAACCTTTGATTTAACACTCACACGTACATAATTGTATAAATGTGAGCATTTCTGTGTACGTGTTCCAACATTTTCTAGACTTCTTTAAGTTTAAGACTTCACCGTTTGCCTATGTTTTCATGTTTTTAGTTTGTTTTAATGCGTTAGCAATTTTACTGTTTTTTTGGTGGTTTTTTTATATATAGTTTCGGTTTGGATTTTACTTTTTCATTTAGTTTTTAGGCCCCCATGCTGATGTTAAGGGAGTAGCCGCTGGTATAGGGCCTCCAGCTGCGAAATCTGGAAAATCTTCCTGCGACTGAGTATTGGGAGCAGAGCTCTTGCCTTGCCTGTCGTTGGATTTTTCCCACGGTGCATTTTTAATAACAAAACCATTCTCATTTCCACCAGGTAGGAAGGCCGCCACAGTCTGAGGTTGTGGTGATGGTGGCAAATTGTCCAAGTACTCATTAGTGTAGTCTTCAGCCATATTGAGTATAACTTCCTTAGCATTTTCAACGTCTTCTTCTTTGCCGATAATTGTTACACCATTGGGATTAGTTTGAGCATCATCAGAAGAGGCGAACTTGATATCAACCTGCAAATCCAAAATATGTTGAGAAACGAAAATCAAATATTGAGTGTCAAGAACGGAGGTACAGAATCAAATAGGGACACAAAAAAAACGAAACAATTGAAAACAAATTACCTTATAATCTTCAATAATCTTGCGAATGGTGCGACCACGAATACCAATAATGTGCGAATGTATGCGTGAATCCACTTCGATGACCTCACGATACAAATCCTGTAAGTCACCGACAATTTCCATAATGGCATCGCGCGCGGCCTCGGTGTTGGCTTTGTAGCCGGTAATTGTAATAATCCGTGGATCGGGATCAGTACGTTTTGGCAACGAAATTTGAACATCGTGATCGGCGCGTAACTTATTGATGACAGCACCACGTCGGCCAATCAATTTCGAATGATATTGGGTATCAACATCAATTTTCAACTCGTAAGAACGAAGCTCACGATCCGCACGGTCTGCTTCGTATTCTTCAATCATTTTGTCTAAAGCTGCCTTGGCTTCTTCTACGTGCACCGGAGTACCGCTGAGTTTTATCAGATCAGACTTCGTTTCGCTGGGCGGCAATTCTATGTGCACATCGTATGTGGACATAAATTGACGAACATTGGCACCTTTGGGACCGATGATTGTGCGATGTAGATCGTAGGGCACCTCGAGCTCCATGACGATCGGTATTAAATCAATCAAAGCCTGCTTAGCTGATTCGCATTTTTCGATACGACCGGTTATGCGAATGATATCACATTCGCGTATAGGTTCGGCATTTTCATCACCGCCTTCATCATTACTGCCATTATTAGTTCCATTTATCAAACCTTCAACGGGATTGGTAGCATCGCGATCGGGGAATTTTATTTGTACATCATGTTCAGAGGTCACTTGTTGTACTTTAAAGCCACGCGCACCCATTATAGTGCGATGTAGTCGCTGTGGAATGACTACCTCAATGGTTACCTGTGCCTCTAAGTCGGCAACTATTTCGGCAATGCGTTGTTTTGCTGCCTCAATACAATCCTTGGGACCCTTCAATGTAACCTTGTCAGAATCGACTCCAGGTCGTGGAAATGAAATCATAACACCACCATTCTCTTCGGCTATGCGATGTAAGATTTCTCCACGTTTTGCAACAAAATGTTTATGGTACTTGGGATCGACAGATATCTCTCCTTCGGTAACT